TGTTCAATTTTTGGGTAAAATTTTTTTAGTCGATATCCTTATATAGAAAATGATCTACATTCACCCTACCTTTAATTTAACAATTTCGATTCTGATTTTAGATTGATCAACAAATACAAATTAACGCATATAAAATTTTACAATAAGTTAATAATACAGCATATATATTAAAACACCCGAGCTTTCAAACCCGTGTCAAAGTAAAAGTGAGATAAATAATGCACACGATTACCGTATTAAACCTCTTCGATTTTAAGGTAAATAAGCACTACTACAAAACAAGTAATGCATGATACGGGAAGCCCAGGCAGCAACCAACAATGTGACCTGCACAGCAGGTTTTACCTTGCTTTATATAAACGTAAATCATCTGGAGATCTGATTACCAGTTTGGGGATTTGATCACCCGTTTTGGGCTTGGAGATTCAATCACCCGACTCACAAAATATGCCAACTAAAAATAGAAAAAGTTGATCATAAAACAACGGTATGCATGTTACACCAGCACAGCATTTTGACATGTGAAATGATAGCTTTTTAACGACCAACCAAATGTAAGATCTTGCGAACGACATTCTAGATGGTAGGTAACCATACGCCCCGTAAATTTGCATGACTACGTTCCTGGTATTATCAAATAATATGGACGGCAAAAATTCCTGCAAAAATTCGACCAAATATTTACGAAAAAATGGAAAATCTATCAACTTTGCGTGGCCTTCTAACAAAATGACCGGAATCGCAAAAAAGATCATAATTGACTTTAATAATAAAACCCTAACCACGTATTCATACACATAAAGCCTTAACACGCTAAGAAATTAGGCGCTCAAATTACATTCAAGATGGTCCATGCGATGATAAACATGTGAAAATTAAGCAACAAGACGGTCCATGCCGTGATAGACAGGTGAAAATTAAGCACCAAGTGACATATAACATCACGTGGACCAATCAGATCCAAGATTTTGTGGAGCAACGACATTTCGATTGCCGTATAACCATCACTACGTGATATTCATCACTACGTTCCTGGTATATGCCAAAACGATAGTATGTTGCAAGAACGAATTGAGCCATAGGATCTAATTGATTATCTAAGCAATATTTGATAATATTATCTGGATTTTGCCTTTTTTTTACTAGAAATGTGTTTAAGACGCCAAAAAATGAACAAAAACCTCCACCTTTTAATATTGCTTCATTATTTAGATTATAAATATCTTTAATAATTTCAACAAGAAAATCTTGCGACTTATCTCCTAAATACAATTGGCTATCTTCGTTGGATATTTTAGTAACATCTAATGAATTATCGTTTTTTTCTGTCATTTTTATAATTGACATTTTCCGTAATGAAAGTATATGTTACATATGAACTTATAAATTTATGCATTGCGTAACACAATTACGTGTAACACACACACATTGTAACACCTTTTAACAAATTTGGTTGATATTTCTATATATTACCAACTGGCACTTACTGCGTCATAAATGAGCATCTTTCTTGATATCTTAATATCTACGACTTAAAATTAAAAGATGAGAAGTTACATGTTTTTCCCAGAAGTGACAATGTTTTTATTCACTAAGGTTGTTCTCAAGCAGCTCCCTCGATGTAATTTGCAAGTGATCGAGATGCTGCTCAATCATTTCGATTAATCGAAATTAATTGAAGTGATCCCTGTAATAATTTTGCCGAAATTCATTGTGCGAAATGCGGATTTTAAATTTCAGCCAATTGGAGTAACTCTGAAAAAAAAAGATGGTTGTTAAACACGATTTATTTTTTCAGCCAATCGGATCACTTTATCGATCATAGAGGGGGGTGCTTGAGAACAACCTAAACAAAAATTAATTTGAGGTGGCTAACTATTATTTATATCAATAACCCAATTGATATTTGAATTTGAGTACAATTTGCAACACTTAAAAAAAGTTGACATAAGAATTCGCATAAACTTGTAAAGCACAGATTTTTTGAGGGTCTATTATAAAAAAAATGAGAATGATCGCCGGATTATATTTGATGGTTCAAAACATTTTGAAATATTGGCAGATTTGATTTTGGCTTTGCAGTATCAAAACTATCAGCTAGCTAAGTCTACAAACTTTAATCAACTACAAATACTATTTATTTCTACTGCTGTTTTGGTTTACCAACTTTCAAAAATGCACCACCGCCGAAATATCTATCATTTGCATCTTTAACCTTCTTTTGTGCTTCGTCAGGATTGATCAATTCAATTCCTTGTACTGGAGTGAGGGTCAAAGAAGATGATAAACCGGAAGTCGCCCCAGATGATCCCATAAATTGATGTCGTTTGGGCGCTTTTGCTTTATGCAATAATTAGTCGTATAAAGAAATACACACGTTGCAAAAAGATGAGTTTAAGACAAAAAGAACTATGCTTTAATCAAAATAAGAATGTAATCAAACCTTTAACTCTGGGATCGGCCACAGCAGCACGGATTTTACCCGAGTTTTGTCCAATCAGACCTAAACCCTTGGTTGTATCAAAAGAACCAGTTTCATCTTCAGCGACACCGAATGCCATCCTATTTTGAGCCTTACGAAGTTCTGTAACAGCATGTGCTTCTTTCATTCGACGTACTCTAAGGTGAATAGTTCAATCAATGATGCATTAATATTTTGATATTTTGCACGTAAGCATAAAAATATTTAACATATTAATTTGGATGATAAAATACTTTTTTCCAGCTCTCCGTTTCTTTGGCCCTTCATCAGGAACTGGTAAAGGCTTGACCGTCTTGGATGGAGGTGGTTCCTGCAATTTTTCAAGTTTTTTGTCAATCTGTTCCCGTAAAGACCTACCAAATGAGCCTTATTATATACGAATGATTAGTGTAATCAAGTTCAAGAGCTCGAGAGACGTCGATAAAATATTCGGGAGATTCGATAATACCATCAGATGATTCATGCATACGATCCATCCTAGCGGCCAATGTGCATCTAGATCAAGGTAATTTCGGAATGAGAAATGCGATACACAAATGCATTTTTATGCAAATAGAATTAATCATACTTGGCGGCAACAATTTTTTGTGCTTTCAATCTGAGATCTTGTGGCGTTCTCTGTATCAATTCGGATTGAAACAAGTACCCAGTGTGTCTCGGTGTTGATGCATTGGAAAAACCCGTACTCGTTTTCTTCTGGACACCGATTAACTAAAATGGATAAGATACATTGAAATATATATTTTTGCAAATTTCATTTATCGTACAAATAAGACGACAAAAACGAGACTATATACCATAACGTTGCATGCTGGCATTTTACAGAGAGCCATCAAACCACCAGCCTGTCCCAACATTTTGGCAGCAGTAGTACTGCCCACTATGGCCGAAAGATTTGGTGCAATTAAGGACATTCTTGATTCCACATATTCCAATATCTGTTTTATAAAAAAAAAATTTTTTTTTTTTAAAAAACCCTCGAATCATACAAATTACCATGACCAATATCTATTTACTAACCGTACGCTTGGCACTATCCAATTCCAAAGCCATATCGCATGCATCACTCACAATCTTACTTTCTTCTATTGTCAATGGTAAGCCGTTTGTTGTAGAACCAGTAACTGTTACCACCATCACGGTGGCAGATGGAAGAATCGATCTCAGATCGACTTTGGTCAAATCCTAAAATGATGGAAAATGATCCGATGGAATTGACGGTCCACACGGTGAGGTTGGTGTCTATTGAAAAAATAAATACCATAATTTCTTGACATTTTTAAATAATCTACAGTATTGAATGAAAAAGTGCTAACCATTTCGTTACCAATTGCTTTCACGGCACGAGCATAATCTAGTGGGTTGAGTACCAATGATTCTAGCTCTGGAAACTTTTTTGCATAATGATCCCTTATGAACTTCAAACGAAGAACGTTAATTATTAGAAAGTTACCATGGCGTATGAATGAAAACAATATCTCACCTTATGGACAACTAAAATTTCACTATCAATGTCTACAGTCAAATTATTTGCTTGTACAATAAGTTTATATTCTGGGTCTTCTTCAACAGGACCCATTATTTGAACATGAATTCGGTTCGTATTTTTCAGCTGTTCTATTTTCTAATTATTTAAAAGGAAGCCACAGGATTGAGAAACTTATACATTTATACTTACGAGCTGCAGTAAAGTCAAACTACGAACTAACCATTAGAACATCCTTCATT